AAGAAGAAGAAGAAGAAGAAGAAGAAGAAGAAGAAGAAGAAGAAGAAATCAAGCATAATACAATACAATATGGATACTGGACTTTCTAAATTATCATTCTTTTCATAGAAGTTTGGTATGGAACCAGAAATGCCTTGCTTTGGTTTGAAAACAGATACATGAAAAATGAGGAAGAGTTACTGTGAATAATAATTAACACCTGTTTATAATACTGTGAGAGCCAGTTTGATGTTGTGGTTAAGACACTAGGCTAGAAACCAAGAAACTGTAAGTTCTACTTCTGGTGTTGTAAATTACCCAGAATCATTTAAATGAGATAGGTGCTGTAGAAATTTAATACAAAATAAAAACAAAATAAAGGAATGGTCTTAATCATAAAGCCAGCTAGGAAAAGTTGGGCTAGGCAATGGCAATCTGAAATCTTGCCAAAGAAACTGCAGAGATATCAAATTATTTAAAACATGCAGACCTCTGGAGACTTTTAGCACAGAAGTGTTGGATTTTGTGTCTCTGTGTGAAAAGAACATATGTATATTTGTGTACATATATATCTATATATATAAAAGCAAAATACCACTCACACGTCATCACAAAATCTTCAGAACCGCAAAGCCTACAAACTTGAAATTTGGTATGTATGCTCCTCTTGGCTTCTAGGTGCTCACTAAGAAAGGATTTTTTGAAATGACCATCAGAGCATTAGTATTTCGTATAATATTATTAACATGCTCTGATGCTAAGGAGTTCTACTCCCCCTCCCCACCTGAAAAGAAATATCTTCCAACTGCAGTTCAGCTAAGCTATGTCCAAGCTCCTTGCTGTCTCCTTCTTGCTCACACAGCAAATACTGTTTCAGTTTCCAAACAGCCCTCAACTATCTCATACAGTGACAGAATGCTAGCCAGATGAATACCGATGGATGCTGGTAGGCAGAGCCAATTTTTTCTGCCTTATTTTCCTTCCCAAAAACTAAGCCCGATCACATAATTTCATAGCGAAGGACGGGTATAGAGAGTGTGTGTGTGTGTGTATGTCTGTGTACACACACACAGTATATATACATATTTACAGGATTGATGGATATTAGAAAACTTGAAGAACCAGATTAGGGACTAATTGTTGGGTAGAAAATCTATCTATATGGTCATTAAGAGTCAACACTAACTTGATAGCACATAATCAGTTAATGCCTATTGCAAATTATGGTGATCACCATTTTAGCCCTGAAAATGAACCAAATGATCAATGAAAAGCAAAGAAATCAGCTGTCTCTGACTTTCAGCATGATTTTCTAATAACAATACAAAAAAACCCTCACTAAATAAGAACAACCTGACCATTATAGCTGCTGTGACATTTAATCAAAAGAAAATATTAAAAATGTCCTTTCACACAGAGACACAAAACCCAACACTTCTGTGCTAAAAGTCTTCAGAGGTGTGATGTTTTAAATAATCTGAAAATATGTAATAAATGGGCTTCAGAAATCATGCCAATTGAAGATTATGCATTGTTCTCCTGGGCATATAATGTTCTACCCACAGCAAAGTACA